ATGCTCCGCCTATCCGATCTCAGGGATTTCGAGTATACATACTGTGGATAGTGGCGTTCAATTACAAACCTACAACCGCCAAGGGGCTTCTCATGAAGAAAAAAGCAGAAAAGATCATCGAGGACACACTAAGTTAGGACCTGGCAGCCTCTCTGGACGAGTTCTCCGAACCTGGCAAACTCTTGAACGAGTTCTCCGGATCTGATCGTTTTATCTCAGCAAAGGTTCACCTTACCTCTGGATCACTGATCGTTCCTTCGCTTCATCCGAATCTGATACTATCTGATTAAAAAAATCTATAAAAACTGAACTCGTGACAGAAAATAGCTTTGAGTTTTGGTGGGCGGGACAACTAGGAGGGCGTCAGAACTGCCACTTATGAGGGCAGCAGCGCCTTCGTTACTTATTGTGAAGCCGCGAAAAAGGGACAGTCTTAGAGATTGCGGGCCAGACTACTTGAACAAGGAATGACCCCTAACAATTAGTCGAGCTCGGGGCTAGCCACTCGATCCAGGGTGCAGCTTCGAAATGGGCTGCATGCATTTGAGCGACGAGAGCTAGGTTAAGAACAAGAAATATGCAATACTCACTTATGTAGGTTTTAGTAGTTGTAATATGTACTAGTTTTGTTGCACCACCAACTAGAAATGTACATTATGCGCGGGAAAAACCAACAATCGGAAATTTTTTCTGGAGGCCAACACAACTCTCTATCCCGGCTGTGACCCCCAAATAACCCCTGATGGGCAATGCACAACGATGATGTTCGCCAGATCCATTCTTATTTCTACAGTACACCCCATTGGGTTATTTTGGGAGCAGCTCAAGGTGCATAATTGCCTTCAACTCGAGGTGATCGAGTGGTTTCCGATCTTTGAAATGTTCCTCTGCCGCTCGAATACTTGTCCTCATTTTATGCGTTTTTGTGACAGCAAGTCTGCACGTTTTGCAGACATTCCTAGCCTCGAACGTGTTCGCCGATTGTAAACACGCTCTCGGAAACGTCCCATTTATTGCACTGTACTGCTTAAGAAACGTATTAGGCAGGTAGGAGCAGGTAAACGATTTCTGCGAGGAATTTTTAGGAGATACTTCGAAAAAATACATGAGGGAGTGGAGAGGGGGGCGAGCTCTCGGAACGGTTTCCAGATCTGGCTGCATAGCTGAACAAGAACGCCTTTCTCTTTTGCCCACTGTCAATGGAACTGTGCTGATATCAGCTATGTTTGCCTGATGCTTGATACTAATGACCATTAATAATGAAAAATGGCACTATAAAAATCGTAAATCAGCGCAATTCGATTCCCTCTTGAGCCCCGAGTTTTCCCCCTGAAGAGTGCAGTCAAGGTAATTATCGGACTAATAGCGGAGATCATCTTTAGCAAATGGATCTATATGGCTGCGTTTATAGTCTGCGGCAGCGCCGACCAGCGACCAATAGCGTCAGCAGCGTTCGAAGCGGCCGGCAGCGTCTCGAGCGCTAGGGAAATATGATTATCGATCTAGCATCTGCTAGCTTCTGCCGGCGACCAGCAGCTTCCAGGAGTGGAGAGTATGGGGCGGGAGGAGGGTAGCAGACAGCTGGTAGAGAGTTTGGCGCGATAGGATGATGGGAGACCGCTGATACTTTCCTATTTTCTCTACCAGCGATCTGCTGCTGGTCGCTGGTGGACGATGGTGAACGCTAGATCGATACCCATACTTCCCTGGCCCTCGAAATGCCTGCTGGTCCCGGTAGACGCTACTTTCCTAGTCGGTGACGCTGCCGGATGCTCGGACCACTGGTGGACGCTTGTTCGCTGCCGCAAAGTATGAACGCAGCCCACGGCTGATTCAAGCTTAGTAAGTAGAAAATCAGTGTCAAATGTGGCAAGATTCCGACGTAATAAAAAAAGACGCATCATATGACTTACACACAGCTTAACCTCCTTCTTTGGTTTGACTATAAGCCAGTTAGGATAAATGGAAAGGTCTAAAACGTGAGTCAACCCTTTTTAGGTTTCGTCACATATTCGATTTGTCTTCAAACTGGTAATGGCATTTGAATACTTGTTTCGCATACACATTGATTTGCGGAGCTGGTCGTAAATAAGGGCCTGTACCAGTTCAGACGAATTACTCATCGTGAAGAGATCGAGCGCTTTTTTGGTGGAAATATGCTGCATGGACTACCCGTGTAGCGTCCATCTACTCCATACTGCATAAATGCGGAGTCCGTGGTTGCGTACCTTATTTTAATGTAGCGGCAGCTGCGCTTCTGAAGGAATACTGCAGCTTCAGAACAGTTACAACCATGACTTTGTCCAACAGATACGATAACACTTGTATCAAATGGAAATATCCACGAGCAACGCTTCCCACGCCATGTTCAAGTAAAGTATTCAGCCACGCCCACTACATCACTGGGGTGTGAAGTGTACGCACCTCGGTTAAGGGCAGACCTTGCAACTTCCAGTCGTTGGTAATGGAGTCAATAATGAAAATGAGGGTGGCCAGTGGCTCGAGAGTCAAGGAAGAACCGAAAGAAACAGACAATGCAAAATAAGGCCCCTTGACTGGACGAATTTTCCGGACCACGGCAGAAAAACGATAAGGCCGCCGCCGGTGAACATTCTCTGGCTCGCAACCGTTTGTTCTCGTCCTTCTGCATTAAATGGCATATGACCCTTGAAAAAAACTAGGAAATACCACAGTAGTAAAGTATCGTAACATTAACTACCTATGGAAAACTGCAGCAACCGTAAACCAACGTAAATTGCAGCAGTAAAATTGCATCGTCTGTAAACTGAAACAGCTTTGAAAGGCATTCCACCTCACGAATAAACTGATTTTCATCATGTGCTCTTCTCTGGAAAAATCATTCTAAAAATGCAAAATGCTCTGCATTTTGCATAGGGGGGGGTGACCTAGATGACGACGAAGGCTACAAGTTGGCCATACACAGAATGAATGCTGCGTGTATTTTCGCTACATATCCCCTCTCCGATGGGCGAGGCAACTCAGAGTACCGTACATAACTGGGACTAAACACGACCGCAACGCCCCCGTCATTAATTGTAGACCCACGAAAGTGGTTCAGTCTTAGAGATTACGGATCCGTTCAGAGTTAGAGGATTGCGGATCGGACTGCTTTGGTGCGGAGGGACTCCTGTCAACTCCCTGTGCGTGGAGTCGGCCTTTGATCCTTGCCTTTTGTCCGGACAAAAAACACTGATTTGGACATCAATTGGCCGTCGCAAGTTCTTTATAGGCCAGGTACACATTCAAATGTCTCTGTGACCATTTAGAAGTCCAACGAGAGAGAGGCATCCTTCAGGGAGGGGCATTAGAGACCACTTAAGCCCTCCACTTACTTTATAGATTCGTACATTTTATTCAGTTTTCAAAGAAAGTAAATAATTTTTTGTTCAAGAAAGAAATGTCGTCCAGCATTACTAACTTCTGACGACAGCTCAATCGAGTTTTAGTCTTGTGACACCATAATGCCCGTTATTTGCAGCGAATCGCGGGTTTACCTGGAATTCCACAACCTGACGACATTTCCACGACGAGCATTCGTCATATTCTCAGCGAAGGATGGTGGCGACATTCTGCGTGACGGCTATATCGATGAGGTTTGGTTTCTTTTGTAATCCGTAGCAATATCCTCAAAGCCCCCCCCCCTTTTCAAAGAACTGTTTTTTTTCTTTGCACTGTGACTTCTCTTCTTTAACAGATTTAGGCTTTGGCTTTGTTCGGCTAGGAGGAGGGGGCATTTTCTGTTTCCGCTCTGATGACACCTGTGAACTCTTTTGAAGCTGTAAATGGTGCAAATGAGCCACTCTGTTCACAGGATTTTGCAGCTATTCACAAGTAGCCTGTGAAAGTGCTGTGTACCATTTGGTGCCCCACCAAGCTGAACTACGCTTGAAGTTATGGTGGTATCTTATCTGTAGTACAACTGAGATGTCTCAGATGAGCAAAATCCTTTTTATCAAGGACTTTTTTTAGGTTTTTTCCTCCCCCTTTAAGAATCAATTTCATCTCTATTTCTGAACGTGACTGAAATGAACACTAATACGGCGACCATCTCTCACCACCCTCCAAATGGTTGCAGTCGTTGCTCGAACGAAAAGCTCCAACGTGCGTGAGCAGCTCATTCAAGTGCCTGCAGCCTTGTTCGTTACAGAAGATAGGGCATATCGGGAATGGATGGATTTGCCACTTATCCGTTCCAACAACTGGTGAAGAACGGGCTGGCTCTGCGCCAAGCCCAGCTTTACTGACACGCCCCTTCTTCCTAACAAACCAAACTGTAGGCTACTCTGATTGGAATTGTCTGTCACCAATAATTGATCATTGGTTCATCGAAATTAGTCGACTCACGAGTCAAACACTACATTTATTATTTTCTGTATCCGTGGTTGTTTTGAATTTACCATAGTTTATAATACTTCAGGTTCTTCGATTTGATAACATAATGACGACGTCGTTAGCAGACAAGACAAAGATGAGTGAACGAGGTTGTCATCCGCTCTGCGATCTCAACAAACCCTTCCACCTGGTGATGGTGAGTTTATACTTATACCTAATTCTCACCGCGATTCCGCATCTTATTGCCTGGTCGATGGCAGAGATAACCTCGGAATCCATTCTGCTGCGTACCTTAAAGGCAGTTGGCACGATGATTTTGTGGTCGGCCCAAAATGCTAGTAGGGCGCTATATAGTGGGAAAATGGCGAAAGAACGGAGTGAAACGGTCGAAATCGAATGAATAAAGAGCCTCCTTTTTCAATGACTTGCAAATCGATTTTGGACGAGTTTCCCATTATGCATCCGCGCAATCAATGCGCTACGTAGATACGGCTGCAATATGTGGGCACCCATGTATTCAATGCAGGGCATCACAGGGGTGCTTCATATAAATCCTTTGCTTTATAATTTGCTCAGCAAATGTATGAATACGAGCGTCTGGAACGGTCGTCCATTTGTGGGCGGGCGGGCGAGGCGGGCGTTTGGGACGTAAAGTTGTTGCTTGATAGGGCCCTTATAAGGTATCTTTACCTCGAGGGAAACCGCGCTATGCAGGCGGCCTGCCCAGGGTCGCGGAATTTCATCCTGCAGGAGTTTTGCGTATCAACTCGTCTTGGGCGGTTTTATTCGTGGTGCAACTGGCCTTTAAGCCTAGCGTGTGCATCGTCTCAAGCTATCTGTCGACTGCTGAGCCTTTCTTTTCCCTGCTCTTTTCTTTCTATTCTTCTTAACTACCTAAAAGACTCAGTCAAAGAGCGCGGCGAGAAACTGATCGCAGTCCTGAATGACGCTTCGTTATCGTACACGAACTTATCCACAGGGTCAAGGCGAGACATTCTACGTAGGCAAGAATTGAAAAGTCGGCCTGAATGTTGCACGAAGCGATTGGACCTTACCATAGATCTAACGCTCGAGTGATTCTTGGGTCACAAATGCGCCGGCCGTGCGTCGACCTCACAACAGAGCTTGGACGGAAACTTGCCCTCAAGCATGACTAGCATGATTTTCAGACTAGCTAGGCGATCGATAGCAGTTTTCAAAATTACAAAGGCTGCTTGCTGTCTTCTCTGATGTCATCACCAAGGCACGCGATACGTTGTGAATCTCCAGCGAAGGGAATCGTACTCGCTTGCTGAAGAAAGGGCTGTATTCAACTACAAGAAAAATGTTTTCGGCTGTCGACTTTTTCGGCTTCTTGCCGTTTCGGCGTTAGCTGTTTACCCCCCCCCTCACGACGCCAATTGAAAAAAGACCTTCCAGAGAAAACTCCATAAAATTTGGTGGTAGGAAGTTGAGGAAATTTGTGGAGGTGGTTGATAGGAGTATGGCGAAAAAAGGAGGCTCACCAAAGGGGTAACTTTCGAAGAGGGTTTTATTTTGCAAAAATTTCCCTCCAACGGCAGGACGTGCGCTGATTATCACAGTGCTTCCATCATATTACCGTCATATTATCTATTTCCCATAGAATACATTGCACAGTATCTGTCGGATACATTGCGTGAAGCGAATGCTCAAAGCCTATTATATTTCACCGGAGGCATGCCCAGCTTTTACCAGATGCTCCTCTTCCTCATCGACTTTTTGCGATTTCTAAACTGTCTTGAGAACCTAGTTATTAAATCCCGTGAGAAGCACCGCCCAAATCAAGTATGCCGCTCTTTCCGGGTGCGCCTTCCCCGATTAGTCAGCCGACCCTTTGCTTACTCCACTTTTTCTCCATCTCTGGACTCCCCTGGAACCGGAATTATGAATTTTCGTCTACGCCACCGGCTAACTTGGCCACTGTGGAAGGGGGGCTTAGCTTAGTCAAATGTGCTCTTCATATCCTGTATCATGCCCTACCCATCCCACCTTGACCCGACCTCAGCAAGCTGTTATTCAGGTCGACAGAATTTCCGGACAAACAAAAGCAAACAAACAAACAGACGAAGCAATTTATCTATAGTGGGTGTTCTATTCATGAGGTTAATATCAGGTATGAAGTAAAGTAATAGGAACCAAAGGAAAGGGAAAAAGCCAGGATTCATGGAAACTTCCAGTCGTGCTCTACTAACAATGAGTAGCAGATTTTTCAGGATGTGCCACGCTTATGACTCTCTTTTAGGTTGCAGATACATGCTAGTGGCAACATCTGTGTAGTGATCAGTGGCGCTCTCGGGGGGAACTAGGCAGTACAGAACCCGCTTTGTCCTTTTTCAAAACCTGACATCCCATAACACATTGGCCTCTCCACTCCTATACCTTGACATGATTCCTTTGAACCCTAAGTCTATCTCGTTGTCTTGCAGGTGCATGAGTTTCTCTACCCGTGTAACTGTGTTTCTGAATATGATCCATACACAGGGCTCAAATCGACTTCCATATCACCAAATTTCAGAAAGTGATGCGCTCCAACGAGACAGATTCTGGAACTCGACTGGGATATCCGGAGAGCACATTTCACGATACCCCGTTGTTCATCGGCATGCACTTTTACGATGCACATGTCACGCCTGGTAAGGATACTGTTTTACAGTTCATATGTTTCGAAAGACACCCGAGCCTTACAAGCTCCTAGAGCAATTTGCAAAAATTTTTCCGTGTATCCCTTGGGGGCTTACACCATGTTCCGTTCGAAAGCAGATTGCACAGAAACACTATATCTGAATATTGTGTTGTTCTCAAGTCTCATTAGAATCCAGTATCTCAATTGAACACAACTCGAAGAGCCGTCGAAGGCTCATCAAAAGAGAAAGCGAAGTGAAACGGTCAGAAACCTGCGAAAAATTTCAATTTGGGACGAGTTTCATGTTGGCATCGCGCCAACAACCGCTACGGTATTTGCGACTGCACTATGTACTCATCTATCCATGCAGCTCCGCAGCATCTTCATATTAATCCCTTCCAGGGCACATCGTTGTTGGGGAATCCCCAATAGGGGGGGGGTCGTATTTGGCGCCACGAGAGGGAGGGTCGTATTTACGTTTTGGCGTTGTAGGAGTGGTGGTTGACTTTTGGTGATTTTCCTGTTTCACGTACTATATGCCCCCCCCGCTCGACAGCAAAATTTTTGGGGAAAAGTAGGGAACTTTTCGGGAAAGTTTTGGAAAGCAGTGGCAGGAAGTTGGGGAAAATCTGAGGGGGCCGGGGTGCCGTGATTCTCCTGCGTCGACTTTTCCCTGTTTCACATGTCGCTATCTACCGCCTCGCCCCCTCGCCTGCTCGGCTGCTCGATTCGGTGATAAGAGGGTGAGAGGGACAGAGGGGAGGGGGTCGTACAGAGTTCGACCGAGATCCCCAACCAATCGATTGTGGCCTTGATCCCTTCGCTTCGTATTGTAGGTCCTAGTTTGTGCGGACGAAGCGTGTCAGGAGCGGGCTCACGTTTGGCCGGCTTGCTCCGACCGGCTGCTCCTCATCAGATATGTTGAATGGAGCAAGTGACTACACTGTGTCATATCTTGGTACACTAGTTTTCTAAGGATTGTTGTCGCATACTCCCAACTAACTGGCAGAAGAACGGGGTGTAGTGGCATACTGCTGACACGCCCTTTCATGCTGCGGAAATAGAGTATACCTCACAAATGAAATCGATCAGAGCACAGCATTGGTCAGACATTAGTGGCAAGGGGCAGGCGCTGAACACATTGTGTGGTGTTTCAAGCTGATATTGTTTGTTAACTGCTGTTTAACGCCGCAGTACGCGATCCGAAAGCTATCACAAGAATGCTGAGTTATGGGCAAAAGTCGGACCACGGACGGGATTCGAACCCGCATCTTCTGCTTTCCGTGCAGCTGCGTTCCCTATTACGCTACCGAGGCCACTTTTGACCACTCAGCTCAATGGCTATTTGTGCCATTACCTTCAAGCACTCACACGTTCAACGTGATGAGCCGGTTAGCCGATATCGGCAGTGAACCGCAAGGCCGAAGGCTTTTTACAAGTTTCAAGCTGTTTTTTGTTTGTTAGCCCGCTGTTTTAGCGCCGCAGGTACGGCGATCCGAAAAGGCTTTCAAACAAGAATGTGAAGTTATGGGGTCAAAAGTTTCGGACGCACGGACCGGCAGCTAAACAAAGCAAAAATAACTTGAAACTTTGTATAAAAAGGTAATGGCAGCAAATAGGCCATTGAGCTGAGTGGTCAAAAGTGGCCGCTATATGGGAAGCGGCAGCTGGCACGGAAAGCAGAAGGTGGCGGGTTGAATCCCGTACCGTGGTCCGACTTTTGCCCATAACTCCAGCAATTCTTTGTGAAATTGATCAACACTAGTGGGCAAGCAGGCGCTGAACAAATGTGTGGTGAATAGATACTCATGTTGCAGCTTGAAAGGGCGCTATAAGGGAACCTTCCTTGGAAGAGGCGCCACGCAGCGCCTGCTCAAGGATGCTGAATTCTGTCCTGCTAGGTGTATCAATCATACAAGTCTCGTGGATTTATCGTGCCATTGGCTTTTGAGTGCACATTCTGCGAGTTCAAGACTTAACTAGCTGAGGCTGGCCGGACATGAATCTGTATTTGCCAGTTACCAGCCAATTTATATTTGGCTTCCCTGTGAAGAATGAGCAGAAGGAACCATCGAAAATGTCCTCATATTGCCTGGCTGGTTTCCCGTGCTGAACAAATGTGTGGTGAATAGATACACTCCTTGTCCCTGAGACGGAGTAGGCGTGGCTTTCGAACATGATATAGGACGGGTTACTCGTGGGATATTTCACTTTGAGACAACTGTCATCTTGTTCTGTGTTGGACAAAGACATGACCATAGTTGTCTCAAAATGAAAATATTTCACCAGAAGCACAACCACAGAGACGTTTAGGTGTCGTACGCAGCCACGCCTACCTCATCTCAGGATTTCGAGTATACTCACCGCGCGAGCGATAGTGTTGTGAACTCCAGTCACTGTGGACATCTATTCAACGCTCATTTGTATACGTACCAACCTCCCTCTTCTCGAAGATCTAGTTGCTAAATGACGTCTTCCAGCTGTGACGTCAAGTTGTCTAAAATAGCAGCTCCCCTAATACTCTCCGGTGTTAATCGCAAATAATTGGGGGATCTCTCGTCATAGTACATCATGTTGTAAAAAATAAACCTGAGGAGTTACTTTTAAGGCTCGAAAACAAGAATTTTCATCTTAGTGAGTTTTATGGGCAAGTAAAATGGCCAATATGTTGCGATCGAGGGGATTTTTGCGCTTCGGCGACTCTAACATGTGAATGTAGCCCTCGGCCCTCTTCAGGAAGTGCAGATATGAAAATCTGCTCACGACTGACTGGTTGGGAACTCAACGATAGCTCTCGGGAGGCTCCAAAAGCCAACATTAATACGAAGCATAACCAATCCTATTTATTACACATCAACAACTTTTATGACAAAAGTCAATTCAAATGTAAAAACATGAAAGGATGCCAAGAATTTCGGTACAGAAAAGTGTTTTTTTTGCTCTCCATAAATTTACGCTTCGCGGCTCAAGTGAGGTGAAACCTCACACGATTCCAATGGTTCCATTCCATTTCCTGATGCGGCATGGACGTGGATCTTTTTGCCTGAACTAACACCTTTAAAGCAAGTGCAGCGATGAAGGCGATGGGATTAATCTCTCGCAGCAGATATGAAATGTTGGGGTGTGCGGGTTCGACTCCCGCCTGGGGCACGACTTTTGCCCACAACTCAGCATTCTTGTGATAACATTCGGAACGCGTACTGCGGCGTTAAACAGCAGTTAATCGATACTAAAAGCTGCGTGGTTGCGCTTCCATAGGAGGGATGCCCATTGATAGTGACTACGTAATAGCTATCATTACGTACCGGCCGGACGCCCCACGAATGTCCGACCGATGGTGATGCTCGTATCGCTTCATTTGCGAAGCACAGTGTGTGGCAAAGTTGATATGAAACGGCTGCGATGCTGCATGAAATGTATGAGTAAGCGGTGCATCAGCCGTATCTACCGCGTACGGTCCATCGGCACGGATGCCAACGGAGGCTCCTCAAAAGTGCTTTCGAGTTCGGTGTAGAACAAAGGTTTTTGGCCAGGATTTTCAAACTGTTTCACTTCGCTTTTTACGTCTATTTTTCGCTACTATAGCAACCGCTTGCTACCCAAATTGTTAGAAAGCCGGGGTATATGAAATTATCGTGCCTGTTGCCTTTAAACACGGCAAAGAAGATGGACAGTCGGTGATGAGCGCCTGTGCTCAGCACAGAAGAGGCATTCAGCAGCTTAGCTCCGGTTAGCACCTTAGAGAATCCTGGGCGGAGAAGGGATGTTTCAAAATCTCGGTGGAAGTTTTTTAGCCGGTAACATCCATTCCTCGCAAAACGCCAAGCTCAACCTTTGTTGCTGGCGCACAAGTAGCTTCAAACAGTTTTTAGATATCCGCAGGCGTAGTTCCAGGGTGGCCGACCGGCTGTGGTCGGCGAAGAGGGGGTGGCGCAGCCACTGTAGCCTTTTTCACCAGTTGCTGCCGGCTCATGTCAGTGGAAAAAGCCGTGACTTCACCACGCCCCCTTCACACCCCTCTCTTTTGCAGGTTAACAGTCTGTGTTTGAACGATAATGAAGTGTCAAGACACTCAATATGTTTAAACTAAATAGCAACAATGTTCGAGGTGCGAATAAGCTGCGAAGCCAAATCGTGATATTTATGGTATTTACTCACCGGTCGACACTTCCTGTAAGGCTAACAGACTAAAATAGGTGAGTTACAAAAAGAATTTCAACATCGATCTAACGAGTGATTGATTTATTTTGTTCAGGAGACCACGTTGAATTTGTTCCGAATCAGTAACGACGGTGTATTTTCTGATCTCATTGATGTTCATTTATTCGGCGATGAAATCGCAAAAACTCCAGCAAATGGTGGCGGGGAGCAACTCGAGTGAGCTACGTTGACTCAGAAGCCGATCAGCAAAGGCATGCAGGCAGCTCGTGGCTGAGTTAATTCGTTCAAGTTTGGCGGCGAGGAGAGAAACAGTGCCTGACACCGATCACAGCAGATACCCTGGGTAGCGGTCGGAAAGAATTTGTGGGCTCGGAATCAGATATATGAACAGGCCTGGCCATGCAATGCATGTCTGGTGCAACTGCTACTATAACACGTATATTCGAAGCTTTCATTTTATGTCGTGCTGCCTGCTGGCAGCTTGCCTGGGATGTCTTGGCCAGGTAATTGTAGTCACATTGTCTATTTTAGGCAGACTTTCTTGATGAGCGATCGGCTTATGTATTTCTAACTGATTTTTGGTGTTATTGTGTTATATGGAGGGCAGTCCACACCGCGCGCACACCCCATTCCCTATGGTAAGGTAGACGGCTTTTTGTGAAGTGCCAATCAGTTAGAACGTTTACTTTAGTGGCTGCTACTCTGATAACACCTTTTTTGGCCACAATTGCTGCCTTTGGACTATTATCCTGGTTGAAATATCCGATATACTCGATGCAGTGTGTCACTCCATTCTCGTTCTTGAATCGGTAGGATTTTTACCAATGTTTAAACGCGTTTAAAGAAACGGCGTATACATGCACTCTATCCCGCGAAGGCGGTCCTTTTCCGTATGCGAAGCGGGCGGCTTCGCAGCTTGAAAGGCAGGGAAGCAGGGCTAGAAGATCCGTGCTCTAGCACCAGATATGCCATCAAATGTGGGCAGCGCTGCGTCGATATCAAGGTAGTTGGCAGCGAAACTCAAACCGTTCAGCTGTAGAAAACAGCAAGAAGTGAGTGGGCCAGACAATAGCGCATTTGGCTATGGTCACGCGTGTTTCTGGCCGTGCGGCAGTGCGGGCAGACTATGGGAACAGCACCAATGTATGCAGTGTGTATCAAATGCGCGTCCAATCCGTTCCCAAAGTGGCAGCGCTGCGTAGCCAGAAGACAATAGGCGTGATGGCGTGAACGGTGGTGGTCAGTGGAACCGCTCCCACCGAAGGGAGAGTCGGTTACGACCCTTTACTTAGAAGAAAAAAATCTCAATTTGATTCTCCCCCTCCCCCTTCTCTAAGCACGACCCTACCACCATTTTCTAACAGAGTCCATCAGCTCTTAGTCAGTTTTCCGAATTTCCCGACAATTTCCCAGTTTTTCACTCTAAATGTTTACCATCGGAAGGGGTGGGGGCAGGGGGTCGTCAGGGACCAACTACTATTTTCAACTACCCGAAATAGTATTTGTATAGCACCAACTAGGGCTGGCGGAGTCAATACCCGGGAAAACTTTTTTCCCAAATCGGCGGAATTTCTTCAAGGTACAAACAACTCCTGCCTCGTCCCTCTCCCAAACAACGACCAATACAACCCTTGCCTCCACCAGCGAACCAGGTACACGCTCCCCGCCCATGTTCACACAACGGTGCCTGTACTGTAACATGCAGCGCGGAACTCGCTCACGCTACGGCACAATGGCAAAGGAGGAAAGACCAACGGAGAAAATGGGGGTTTGGGATTTCCAGTCGGTATCTTTCGTTATCATAAGGAGTTGGAAAGCGCTTCGCGTAGATGTCGATTATGTTACGAAAAAGTTTCACGTGAGTGGCAAAAAGTAGAACCAGATAAGGATGTTAGCTGAAGCCAGACCGGGCTTACAGCTGACGTAAGAGAAAACAGCCAATTGTCCGCACGCGTGGCTTTCTTGGCCAAACGCAGTTGGTCCGGTCTATGTGTTAATCTCAATTGGGTGTGCGAGTGAACTTTTTGGTTCCCTCTCAGAAATGTGCAATGTCTCGTTGCTGTTGCCAAGTTCGCTTCTACCATTTTACTCTTCACTGCCCAATACCTCGCATTTCAGGCTTAGAATTATTCTCGCATTCAGATAAATTAGCCAAAAGGACTTTGAATGCCCTTTCAACCTGAAATGTTATGGCAATCAGTTTGAAGCAAGCTTGCCTGGGGGGCGGCTATTGGCATCCCGACTATAAGGTAGTTTTGGCTGAAACATGACGGTTCTTGTTCGGGGCTCAACAACATGCGAAAACAAAGTTTTTCAGTGAATGTGTCGCGAGAGCGGTGATTTTATCGAAATTTTTGGCCGAAATTTCGAATGACTGTGGTCCCATGGATGGGCAAAATGACACTGAAAAATGTTTAGTTCTTTTTGGGCTTGAAGGGAGTGGCACGATCGCGTTTAGCGGGCGTTTTGTGCCAGCGACCAGTGGTGGAACACCGCTAGCGCGCTGGCGGACCTTTTCATTGGTGACGTAAAAAATTGCAGCCTTACCTGGTCGCCAGCTTACCCAATGACTCTAAATGCTGAAAAGAAATAAAATAACAGCAATACAGCAATAAAACTTCATAATTACAGGAGTTGACGACGCTTTCATACTCATCCACCGTTGGAGACATCGTTCAGACGTTGCAGATCTCTCCACACGACTAACAAAGGTACGTTCCCGGAGACATTTTCAGGCCTATTCGCTTTGAGCAGGACATGTCCTACCGCATTCACCTTACTCTTTCTTCTCACGGATTAGGATTCCGTCTCTTTGCGCAAGGGGACTGAATTTACTTGCCGTTCATCTTCTTCAGAGTCATCTTTCAGGTGATTGTCGATGTTGGCCCTTCAATCACTATTACATCCTTGACTAATATAATCGCCTTTGGCGTTGGATTCCTAACCCCAACCCCCCAGGTACCGATACAATTAACTTACATTTACCTTATCGCTCTGTTGTTAGCAAAGTTTAATCGCCGTATGATTTACAGATGTCATTGTTCTGTTTGGCGACGTCAGTGGCGCTTCTTATCGACTACATCATAACGTACACTATTTTGGCACCAATAGTGTACTTATGCAGTGGAAAGAACGACTACCAATCAGCATTGCCCTCGAAACCATCAGGGAACGACTATCTTGGCAGGGTGAGTCCTCCACTGCAACTCTGCATATATCGTGGAGAAGTCTCTACCTGCACAGCTGAGAGAGGAGTGTCCACGAACTCAGTAGTGAGGCCGGTTTCGGTAGACAATTGCCGTTTCAGGTAGAGAGAGATGAGGTGCTCGACATCCGAGCAATCTTGTGTTGTCTGCGTCCATCTCCAGCTATCGGCGCCACTTTCACTACCAATTAGAAACAAAGAAAAACAAATATTGGGGAAAGGAATACACTCCAAAGCACAGATGATCCGTTTCGCCGTTATCGCAGACGAATCATCGATGTCTTACCAACCCCCGGGCTCTTCAGTGCGACAGGGTTGACGACATGGATATGGACTATATAGTTACTCCCCAAGGCTGAGATGGTGTCGTTACTTACTATTGTCTTACTCAAGAGAGAACTGGAATGAAGAACGAACTCATACGTATGCGACAATACATCGTACACGCCGGCACTGGGGGAGGTAACGTGGAGGCGTGGCCGAGCGGCGGCCGCGCTCGAGGACGACTTCCGCCGCCTGCCCTCAGCCCTTTCGACGTGAGTAAAAACAAGCGGAAGGGGATAGAATTTGTTAGATCCTTCTTTTCTCGTATTCATGTGGGTTGCGCCAGAGCATATCTATGGCACATCCCGCGCATCGCCGCATCATACGCCGCGCACGACGACCGGGGCACATCGCTGTCGGGAACTCCGCCCCATAACGGGCGGTGGTCGTATTTTGGTACGCGGGAGAGGGGGGATCGTATTGCCGGGCCGGGAAAATTTAATTTTGATAGTTGATTTTTCTCGTTCACGGACCTTTGTGAAAGGGGGGTGTACTTGGTGCCAAATTGTGAGAGGGCGGGGGTCGTATTCACGGTTTTGGCGTCGTAGGAGCGGTGGTTGAACGTTTTGGTGATTCTTCGCTCTGTCATGGGGCGTAAGTATACACCTGCCCTGTTCGACGGCATCGATTCGATGAAGGGGGACAGAGGCCGGAAGCAAGGGGCAGGAGGGGGGGGGGGGGGAGAGGTCGTAAGCCACTGCCCGAAAAAGGGGGTCGTACAGACTTAAATTCCCCAACCAGTGATGTGCCCTGACGACAACTCGACAAATCGCGATTGTCTTGTCTGTCCTCGCCACTCGCTCGGCGGTTTAACGATTCGTAGCCATTTTTAAGTCTCAGGACTTAGGCTAAAAGTAACAAATGAATATATTAGTGGGCAGCCGAGTGACGTCTGTGTGTCTCCGAACTGCATTCAAACCTTACTTTTCCGTTTCACAGAATTTTCAATCTATGGTGAAGGGACACCCTGTGGCATCTTGGGATGTCAACAGTTCTAATCGAATTCGGGCACTGAAACCGTGGACCTCGTACTCCACCACCACATTTCATTTAACCCGACTTCCTTACAGTACTCGCGGCTGTTGTGCTCCCTAAATGGTCGTCTGATCTGTGGTGTGTTCCTGATCACCATTTATACGATCTCAGCCATTGGCGTTTACAAGATGAAGTCGACCTTCGAACCAGCGAAGGCCTTCCCATCTGATTCGCCGCTGGTGAGGAGCCTCAAATCTATCAGGTTAGATGGTTACCTTTTCTATAGGCAGCGACGTTATCAGTCATTATCACAAGTATCTTAATATTATGTTAAGGCCTATATTTGATACATACTTCCCTGTGCATATCTACGTGAACCATCCGCCGAATATATCCGATGAGGAGCAGGTAGGCAACTGCTTCAGAGCTCTTTTGGCACTTATGTTAGAGGCACAGTCGGGTCTCTATGGGAAGAGAAAGACAACCAACCATTCCTCTTCCATTCTTTCCTTTACAATCTTGAAAATGAAGACGCCTTAGTGAGAAAGCCACAGTGGTCCTTGCTCTCCGCCTCAGTGATCGCAACCATGAAGAACAATATCATAAGAAACCAACTAACCGTGCCCATGTGCGATTAATAATCAAGATTACCAAAAGTTTATCATTTCTTATTTACAGTCTTAGTGGCTGCGGATGCTGTGGTGAGGGACAGGAGGGGGACCTGAGTCTCGATCTCTCCATCAGATGTGGTTGGTTGCCTGCCAGCTTCCACGATTGGTGCAGAATAGGTTGGCACACTGCCAACCTATTCTGCACCAATCGTGGAAGCTGGCAGGCAACCAACCACACTTGATAGAAAGCTGGCGGGAGCTCGGCCAAGCACCCCCTCCTCCCCGGTTGCCGCCGGTACGGCCCGCGAGCAGCCGCAGCGGGAGCTAAATAACCCTGCAATACGTCGGGCCGAAAGTGGCGTTGAATACATGAAGCTAACTTAGCAGATTACTTCTGTAGGGTGAAGTCTAACTGGTCTCTGGATGAGCAGAACTTTGGCGCCCGGCACTTATTGCATATACTATAGGTGGAAGTGGTGGAGTGTGTCGGGCAAGGTGCGCTTACCGAAGCAGCACACAGTCGCAAGATCGAAATCTCGCGGATCGGCTCGCAGGGGCGCCACGGCCAACGGGCAACGCCGCCTTCTACGCCGCTGCCGCGGCTGACGTGGACTGGTTACCACAGTATCGCCTTGGCAGGACATAAAACATTGAGAGAGCTTGGTAGCACATCGGCTGACCACATCGCAAATTCATATGTATAGACGGGCACATCGCATTCGAATAGGAGGCAGAGGCAGCTAATATTCTGAATGAAGTAGAAATGCGTTGCGCCATCCCAAAAGGGATTTAAAGATGCCAAGAAATGGTAGAAGCACTGATCTTGACTACTTCGGCACTAACTCATATGGGATCTACCGAAGAAAAGCATTGCTTCTCAACATCTTGTTGGAAGAGACCTAGACGTGCCATATGCATATGAGTATCGAGCGGGCGTACGTCAAGAGAATCTAAGTAAACTGCCTTGTGGCGTTGACGCGGTGACGCTTGACGTGTGTGAGCGCGCAATGTAATCAAACTTCCCCTCAGATCTTTCTAGTACGCATCTGAATGCGTAATAGCATGTGGCAAGTGAGCTCAGAAGCAGTCGATTGTGCAGCAGCTTGAATTCGTAGTTTATACCGAGGACTCAAGATGAATCTGATGCCTGAAACGGAACCGACTTGCAGAGGAATCGTTGTTGCAGGTTGGTCAAGAATGAGTATTTCGGCAATGCTTCGTTCGCTGATCCCCAGTTTTGTGAAAGCATCCTTGGACATCATCAGGGTGCGGCGCACTCTCCGAATACTTGATTGAGCTTGCCTGAAATATAAGTGGGGCCGCGTTTTCATACATAAATTCTCAATTCATGGTGATATAAAAAGTAAAACGCAAGCGAAGTCCTCGTATGAAGGCAGTTCCACTGGGCTTGCATCGAAGGTTCAAGAATTTGTGAGAGAACGTAGAAAACAATGGAAGAAATTGAGAAAACTAAAGCTACTGACGTCATGTGTGAGAATTGCTTTTGATTGTATGATCATACATGGCTTTCATGTTCTCTTGTTGTCGAAGGAATGATGGCACTATTTCGGCCTGAAATCAAAAGCGTGCTTTTTAGGGCAACCGCGCTAGGTTATCTAGGCCGGACGATGCTGTTTTTGAATGTGTACGAAAAATTTGACAAAAGGGTGGGTACCATTGATGAGTCTGTCAAAATAACTGCACCGATTACTTCTGTCATTCAGGTGACAGAAATGACAAGGTCACTGTTTATGGCTCCCCAAACGGACTACAAGCCAAGCCTTCATAATTTGCAGTTTTGGCTTGATAAAATGGGTAATCCGCCATCAGTAAAATACGTGAAATCAAATCATTCTGGGTAAGTGATAACCACCGCTTTTAACCAAGATTTCAGTCCAAGAACTGCAATTAGAAATTGTGTTTTAGCGGAGAAGGTTATCTGAAGGCATTCTCGTTCATCATACTTGGCAAAGGAATGGCAGAATGGGCGAATCGAGCACATTTTGTGCACGACATTCGCCAAGTACTTGCGGATAATTCACGATGGAATGCCTCACTGTTCGACGGTGACTCCGCTGTTCTTGCACTAATTCTTACGGTCAGTTCACAACACATCAAGACAGGGGTTCTGTTCCTTGATGAAGACCCTTCCTGTCTTGATTCTCCGAGCATCGCTCATCTTCGTTTATGTTCTTCTTCTATAGAATTTAAATTTCAACTTCACTAACTCGAACTTACTTTGAATCGCACCCAGGCAGTATCAGCTTGGGAAACTCAGCAGCGCGATGTTTTTTCTCAAAGCTAAATTTTTCTCGAATTCTCAAAGCTTGTTTTTCTTCGCTTATCTGTGATCCTTCCCCATTTCTAGTCATCGAAGCTCTATCCATAGTCACAGGCGTAACTGCGGTTGTTATGAGCCCCACGGCGATTCCTTTCCTCTCAAGGCCAATCCTTACAAGAGCGCACGCGACCAGAGTACGAGTGTGGTCCCGTTCGCAGTCCACTGTCTTCTGCTCGTGAGAGGCGGTTCGATACTTCGCGATCGGCCGATCCAGATTCGCGCGAATCACTCAAGCGCATTCTACGCTTTGGGCGCTGCCACTTGCGGCACCGTGCTCAGCCGCGCAACGGCACGACATTCAAACTTATCTGGCCGCGATTGTGTGACCAAGCCCTAATGCCTTCTCGTATGCGGCGAGAGAGCAGATTCCTCTAGCCGTCGAGACTCTCCGGCTCTCTCCCACTTGGCTCGATGTAGGCGATTAGGTCGAAGCGGTGAGTAATACCCCTCTTCCGGAAAGCAGTGGGAAGCAGCAAGCTCGCAGCTCGTTCAAGCTATTATCTAAATTCCGAATTCTCCTAATCTGATTCTTGATGCGACTTTTTTCTACGGGGCAATTTTTGCTGATAGTTGGGTTTCTAGAGATCTCGACCTCCTGAACACGACAGCAGTCCGCTCGCTGCTCGAAACTGCCTGGCTCCCACGCGCCAGGCACCGGGTGCGAAAAGTACGCGCAGATCACCGAAAATCGCCGTTGGAATACCTTGTGCCTCAGAGATGCGTTCGAGCCTGGAATTGCCAGACCGCGACCATCTTAATTGTTTGAAGGTACGTTCTGTCCAAAAGAGCCAGAGCATGTAAGGTCTTAAGAGAACTGCGTTAAATTATGTTGTTCACTGAAGTTTTACAGAGAGCTTTTTCAGCCTCGAAAGTGAAACGCTTCCACCTGAGGAAAGATACTGTTTTCAGTTCCCAGATGGAAGCGTTTCATTGATGCCAAAATGAAAACCTATATGCTGCTCATATTGGATATGGAGAGTTACCGCGCTGATTTCCCATCCTTCATTTCAGACAAGCATTCACACTACACTACACTTCACGATTTTCTGAACAATACCGTTGATAGCTGTCGCTGGCTTCGTTTCGATTGAATTAGCTTTTCCCCCAATGTTTTTCGCGGTCCCAACATGCCGAAATGCCAAAAGAAGTCATGGTTGATGATGTCCAATCCGTTGCACCCGCTGTACCGCTGGGAGACTGTTCTTCGAGCGGATGAGTCACTCTCTCCACTTGTCTGACTGCAGCGTGCTCATCCGTCTGTCTGACCCCGATAAGAGACTCAGAGAAAAACACCGATTAGCTGGTGCCCAGAGACGATTCGGACGCTCCGTGCAGTGCCACTTATCTGCCGTGGTCGATGGGTGCACCGTTTGCCGCTGCCGGCGCCCAGCCCCGGTCTGGGATCCGCTCGACCTGCGAGATCGGCGCGCATTTGCGTAGTATACACGCGCTCATAAGGCACAAGAGTGAAATTTCGTTTGCACAGCCTTTTGTCTCGCGTTCCTACCCCTCGCCCCTGTCCGCCATAGTACGAGAGTACCGGATTATCTAGCCTCTCCCCGTTGACTTCTTATTAACATTCTTCATTTCAGGTTGGTCCATCGCATCTGAAATTGGATTCGATAGCAGGCTATCAGTACATGGTACTGCGCATGGAGGTTCGTGTCTGTATATTCGTTGAATAGTCGTGCTGAGGAGTGATGATGCGATTCAGATAAATACATTAACCTACACAATAAGCACTCTATCGTGCCTTTCTGGAGATGTTTGCTCAGGAGGCTTCTATGTTATTGCATCTGCCAAAAAATTGTCCGACTCAGTACCGATAACGCGACCTGCAACACTGATCTCGCGCACCGGACCACGAGAAATTGGTGTGTGTCCGTGGCAACAGAGCCTCTTGAGGGCCACCAAGAGAAATGTTGGCTGATTGCGCGTGAGCTGTGAGCCGCTGCCATGATATTGCCGCACTAGGGATCGTAATTAATGTGTGCCTTAGAAAGCGGGCTGTAGGAAGGGATTGGAGAACAGGAACATCACGACTATATACTCCTCATCATTACGGACTGTCGGGGCGGGTCAGTGCGGCTGCGTTTTCCGCGGTTCCAAAGTCTTTCTGCACCAGTTGTTGAAGCGATCAAATGACATAACAGCATTATATCCTTCGTATTACTCGTTTTCTACCACTTTTTGTCGCATACGCGCTTCAGAGAAAAGGCTGAGAACGGCTTCAAACAGTGTGCGCACTCCTTCTGGCCGATACGCCCCGACATGATGCCGTAATGATGAGGAGTATTATGTTGCGTGCCCTTTGGAGGCAATTTTTTTTCTTTTCCTTTTTTTTTTTAATTCATTTAATTGCACTTCAACGTTCGGACGCGTACTTTTTCTTTTCCTTTCTCCTTTTTTCCTTAATTGCACTCACGGTCCCGGGACCTACTCCTCTCTAGCGGGAGACGGACAAGAGAATCTCAACCTACCGCTTCGTCGCACGCGGCGATAGGCGCGACGTTTTCTTAATTTGTTTGACCCTTCCGGCTGAAGCATCCGATTTCATGTATACTAGGATATCGTAGACATTTATGGCTGTTTTGATCGTACATTGTCTAACCTCGACCACTAGAATCGACCTAGAATCGTCGTCATTGGCGGGCGCGACGTCCCACAGGACGCCTACTGACGCGGCAATTACGATTCGCTTGTCACATTTCCCTCTTCAAGCAAGCTCCCGTAAATAGATGCCAAGCTGAAGCAAAAAACTCGAAAAAGCGCTGCCAACTCTCTGCTGGATACGTTCTGGTGTACGCAGTGTTGTGTCTTCTGTGGCCAAGTGTAGTTCGGTACTCCGAGGCGCCGTATCGCGTCCAGCTAGCATTCGAAGCTAGTTGACTCAAAGACGTACTTTCGCAATTAATTTCACGCTACAACAATTTTATGGTGTAGGTAGCAACACTACTTAGTTGAGCGTGATGCCGCATCAAGGATGTCCCCCAGCACAACATGAGTCCATGGTAACCCTTTTTCACAGATGGCGTACTAGGCGTTCAAGTCCAATGTCCTACAATATGTGGATCTTCTTGCGGTTGTTAGATCACAAGAAGAAAAGGCTGTGTGTAGGGTTGATTGCTGGTGCCCTACTCCATTCTCCATTTCACATTTTAGCCTCTTATCATATTAATTAACAAAGTTCCGAATTTCATTATGTGACTTATAGGTTTGGTTGGTTTACTGTCATGGTGGGGTGCGGATCTCGATCCAGTGACACAAGTAGACGTTCTTCTGGCTACTGGTTTCAGGTACTATGACTTTTTTATTTTGTATCTTCACCTAATAGTGTGCATAAACTCTGATTTTTTTCACGGATTTTTGGTCAGAGGCTTTCATCAAACCTTCACTATCATATGACATATGATTGTGACTAACAATATCTCATGAGCCCCTCCGCTAACATTTCAGTACTGTAATTTTGACCGTTTCAGTGTGGACTATACCGCACACGTTGCTTATCAATTCTACCGATCTCGTGGGTCGGCTCAGGAGCGAGTTGCGAACAGTTTGGGTGAAATGGCTGCGCCTATGGTACAGGTAGGCTATTAATTACGCTACTGGAAAGAAGCTGTTGGTGAATGGTGTCCTATCGATAATCTTCGTTTCAGGCTGGCCTATCCACTTTCCTGTGCATGCTACCCCTAATTTTTGTGCCCACATACGCAATTCACGCCTTTGCAAAGACGATCTTCATCGTTGTTGGCATTGGTGAGTCTGATCGTTTTATAGGTAGCCGCAAATGGTCTGGGTAAGGGCTCAAACCACGGATAGCGGAAGCTGTTCCTCAAACTGATGGTTAGTTGTAAGGAAGAAAGAACCCAAAGGAGGCAGACTATCTGTTAAATCGGTCGCCCTGGTGAGAGGACCAAGTATCTGTAAAAAAAATGACAGCCGAATAGAAGGGGTTTACTCAAGCGATTATTCCTCATGTAAATCACACCCGGAACGAATGGATATCTCAAGCAGTCCTCTAATAGATCATTAAATGCAGTTGGCACAACTTTGAACTCAGCCTAAAATGCTAGCAGGGCGCTATCTAGTGGAAAATGGCGAAAAAACGAAGTGAAACGGTCAAAAACTGCGAAGAAAAGCCTTCGTTCTTGAGAAGCAATTTCGGACGAGTTTCCCGTAGGCGTATTGCAAATAACCGGTACCTCCCTCGGAAAAACCGCTATGCAGCACCTACACAGGGCCTACTCGTTTTTTGGGATTTATCGCGCCAACTGCCTTTAAATTCACCTACTTTATTTCAGGTCTTATACATGGACTATTTGTCTTGCCTGTGCTGCTCTCGCTTTCAGTACGTTCAGCACCACCACCATCGCCACTACCGCTCAAATCAGAACATCTCATCGAACAAGAATTCGAACAGCAATAGCTATGTGTGTACTAAATGTAAATAAATTTGTTCATCTGAATATTTACCAACGGAATAATATGCGAATAATGCAGCCCAACATGGCATTGACAAGCCGCTTATAGAAAGGGAGCCTTAATAGCTATACAGTACCCAAAATCAACAGCGAGAATTTCAAC